GAGAGAGAGAGAGAGAGAGAGAGAGAGAGAGAGAGAGAGAGAGAGAGAGAGAGAGAGAACTGACCCAAAGCCTTGTGAACACGGGCAAGGACTCTGCCCCTAAACATCACCCCCAGCCTGCTGAGGTACGTAGAGCACACTGAGGTGGGAGTGCTTACCCATCCCCTGTTCTCCCCGTTCAAAGGGAGCTGGTGCATGAGGAGCTCGGACCAGGACTCTTGAACACAGCCTTCCCCGCAGCTCTTCAGACTAGAGTTCACAGGGTTCAACACCTCCTGGGCAGCAAGAGGAAACCTGCCCGCATGACTGTCCGTTGGTTTCCTCTGTGCCAATAAGAGACAATGAGACTCCGCATAACAGCTGAACAGCTCAGGACAACTCACCCGGAGAAAAGCAGGACTCCAAAGGTCTGCTGAACAGGGCTGCTTGCCACTTAAGGTTGTTTCAAAGATGCAAAGCAATTGCTGGGAATATCTTAGGCTGTGGCTACAAATTCCTGTGTAGACCCACTTTCCATCCAAGTGCGGGGCACTAATAACTAATGCCACTAAATTTGCTCACCTGGCCCTCTGTTATTACTTGCTTCTCTTTCACTGTGAAATCACTGACTGAGAACAACTTGGGGAGGGAAGGATCTATTTGGTTTACACTTCTATGTCACAGTCCATCCTTGAGCGAAATCAGGGCAAGAACTCAAGCAGGAACCTGGAGGCAGGAACTGAGATAAAAGACCATGGAGTAACACTGCTTACTAGCTTGCTCTCCATGGATTGTTCACTTGGCTTCCTTTTTCCCTTTTCCTTTGTTTTTTTTGAGACAAGGTTTCTCTGTCTAACAGCCCTGGCTGTCCTAGAACTCACTCTGTAGACCAGGCTGGCCTCGAACTCACAGAAATCCACCTACCTCTGCCTCCTGAGTGCTGGGATTAAAGGTGTGCACCACCACTGTCCAGCTCAGTTTGCTTTCTCGTATGCCCCGAGACCACCTGACCATGGGGTGGCAGGCCCTAAAGTGGGCTGAGCCCTCTTGCATCAATTAGCAGCAATTAGTAAAATGTCCCAGAGACATGTCCACAGGCTGATGTGATGGAGGCAACTCCTCAACTGAAGTTTCTTCTTTGCAGATGACCTAGTTTATGTCAAGTTGACAAAACTACCACCTTATTATCTAGTGTGTGTGTGTGTGTGTTGCCTTCATGTGTAGTATGTGTGCCTATGGAAGCCAGAGGTCATCCTTACTATAATTCCTCAAAATGCCAATCCTGTTTTCTAAGACAAGGTCTCTCCCTGTAACCTAGGTCACCAGGTAGGCTAGACTAGGCTGGCCAGCTAGCCCCAGGGACCTACCTCTCCTCATACCCAAAGGCCGGGATGACAAGCATGCGAAGCACATTTGCCCAGCCTTCTGCGTGCATGCTGGGGCCAGGATCGGGCCACTGTGCTTAGTATTCTTATCTCCTCAGTCCCTCAGACAAATTTATACTTACAAATTATATGAAGTATTTTCAAAGGAAAGTATCCAAATAAGTTAGGAGGCTCCAAGAGTTTTCATTATTCTTGTAGCTACCAGGCCGGACTCTCTCCTAAGTGCCGTGTGTTTAAGCACACAGCACAGTACTTCAGTGGTGTTAGTCACCTAACTGGGTAGTGTTGCCACCAACCAACAGTGAACTCCCATATCGCCCCCAACAATCTTTGCATGGATTATTTCATTACATCTCAAGCTTTTGTACCCAGATAAACTTATTTTATGATTAACTGAACAGTGAGGACAGAGAGCCAGAGAGCTGCAATCTGTAAGCACCGAGGTTTGATTCGAGATTTGATTCAGGGGCCCAGGCTTTTAAATATCATCTTCTATTGAAGTTCAAGCCAATTCTGGACGACATATGTTACAGAAATTTCTAAGACATACCCTCACCAACTGAACACAAGGTAAGGCTCCCTCCACCACAACCTTCCATGGATTCTGAGGTAGACATCAGTAAACCAAAAGGAGAAAGGTTACAAACTCTGAAATAACCCACAACTTCAAGGTTAACTTCTTGGACAACCCTGAAATGAACCTTGAGGTCATGTAATTTCCAGTTTCTAATTCTGAGAACTAAGAGTCAGTTGGCTTTAGCTTTGGACAGTAGTGTATGACACAGAGCAAAAGATGTAACTTTTTTTTTTTTTTTTTTAGACCTGAATACGGCTCTCATTTTATTTACCAAGTGCCAGACAAATCACTCACCAGGCTCGGCTGCATGTCTTTGTGTCTTCAATCTGTTCAGATGGAGATAAATAATATCCCTCCTGTAGGACACCGAGTTGGCACTTAATGTATACAAAGCGCTGCCCAGAGACGGCACACAGCTGACACTAAATGGTAGCTACCATCTAGCTGTAAACATTACACAGTCAATTAGGGAGCTCACACAGTCTCACAGAAACAGAAGGATGCCTGTAGCTGTGCAGGGATCCCTCTGAAGAGATGGAGCCACAGTTACAGGGCCAACTTAGTATTAGTCAGGCAGCCCAGCAACCCTCATCAGGACCACGGCATGACCAGTGCATCAGAATTCATCATGCAAGCTGTCCATGTGGGGGGAGGCAAATGCCCTGGACATTCTCCATGGGGAACCCACAGCGGCAGTACAAGGTGGACTCTGCAGCCACCTGAATGCCTGCAGTGGAAGATGCTCAGGCAGTTGCCTGGACCATCGTAATCATTCCCTTCAAGGAATACTTTTCTCTGCAATAACACAAGACACTAGAGCAGTGGATCTCACCCTTCCCAATGCTGTGACTCTTTAATACA